AGGGAAAGACCTCTCCTCAGTCAAATCCCCATATTGAAGCTACTCTTCCCACAAAAAAAGGAAATCCTATCCAAATGTTGCTACCTGGAAGACTTCCCAGAGTCAGTTGCCAAAGCAAATAACTCACAGATCAAAGAGCAAAATTCCAGCCCAGGAGCCACACTTGTGAAATAAATGAATGAATGAACAGTAAGTAATGCTGGCAGCAAGCCTTTCTATAAGCTATACTGGACAGAGGAAATTTTCACTCACTTTGAAGTACTTTTTGAGCACCTACTATGTGCTGCACACAGCAGTTGGCTCTGAGGATCTAGGCATATCTGGAAAAGCAGGACTCTGCCCTCCTGCAGTTTACAGATCAGCCAAATTGCCATAGCAACTCTGTTGACAATGTGTCAGCAGCCTTGCTCAGGTCAAGAATGGCCTGGGCTCTCAACAGTGACTGAGCAGACCTCACACAACTGTAGAGAAAAGTAATCCAGCCTGCATTTTCATTTTTATTATCTTTCTTTGTTTCTTTTTTCTTTTTTCTTTTTTTTTTTTTTTGAGAGGTTTTTTTGGTATAGGGCATGTGCGCTCACCAGAAAGACAGAGAGAGAGAGAGACAGAAAGTGAGAAATCACCCCAGAGGAGGGATGGCCATGCCACAATCCCTTGTCCTCCATTCTCCTCTCAGGATCCTGGGCACATGTGCACATGTGCCGAGCGTGAGTTTAAGTCACCGGGTCCGAGACTTGAACCACAGTCAACTACATGGGAGTCCAGCAACATAGCCATTGTGCCAACTGCTGATCCCAGTCTGCATTTTCTTAATGCTACCCAGCTCACACACTTCACCATTGCTTTAGTAAGGAGTAAAGAGAAATTAGCATATCTTGTTAGGTATCATTACATAATATCTGTAGGTTTATTATGTATCATTAACAGGGCTTAATTTATCTGCATAGTAAATATATCATCTCATCCAATATTGTTGGTTCTGCCATTCTAAAAGAACCTTTTGTTATCTTCATAAAGGCTGTTAAAGAACCCTGCCAGGCATTTCATAAAGGAATATTCAGGCTGCCTGCCTACAGTATCTGATCAGTTCACTCCCAGCTTAAACCTCTGTAAAGGCCCCCACTGCTCTGAGAGTCAAAGTACAAATCATTTGCATGGCGTACAGGCAGGGGTAATGCTTACAGGAGTTAACAAGTACATGGCCTCCCACCTATCAGAACGGACACTGGCCGTAAATCATCAGCACACCAACCCAAGCTTAGGAGCAGAATATCCGCTCCACCTGCCACCTCTCCAGCCACTCACCACCCTTCAGCCATTTCAGCTATCTTTCTGTTGGTTTTTGCCTTAAGGCCTTTATACATACCATTTCTTACGCTCAGAGAGCTCTGAGCACCTACCCCTTCCTACACCTGGATTTCTACTCATATTTCAAGGCTCTGCTCACAAGTCATTTTGCCAAGGTTTGAATATTTGTGTCCTTCCAAAATTCATGCTGAAACTTAATCCCCAGCACAACAGTATTAAGAGGAGGGACCTCTAGAAAGCAATCAAGTCATGAGGGTTCTGCCTCCATGAATGGATTAGTGCCCTTATAAGAGGGCTCAAGGGAACCAGCTAGCTGTTTTCTGGCCTTCTGTCCCTTCTGCCATGGAAGAACACAATGTCTGACCCCTCTAGAGGACAGAGTAATGAGGCACCATCTTGGAAGCAGAGAGACAGTCCTCACCAGACACCAAATCTGCCAATGCCTAGGCCTTGGAATTCCACCCTCCAGAACTGTGAGAAATGAATTTCCATTGTTTATAAAGTTTCCAATCTGTGCTATTGTGTTATAGCAGCACAAATGGACTAAAGCACTTTTTCAAGGAAGTTTTTCCCACTCCCACTCCAATTAAGTCGGATATCCCTGTACTACTCTTATTTGGCAGACGGTAGGACCCCTTCGTTGGGAGTACAGCCATTAGAATTCAGTATCTACTCTGCTCTGATTATACTTTAGAGCATGGGCGGCATTTATCACATTCCCTCTTACTGGTAGTCCTACTACTACGTTGCCTGGCATACAGCAGGACTTCCACAATGATAGCTAGTCTCTATTGAGCATTTACTATCCATCAGACACTATTTCATCCACTTCAGTGAGTTAGCACCTCTAATCCTTCTAACAACTCCATGCCTGGTACTATTATTTTAGAATAGAACACCGAGGCACAAACTAGGTAGTTCCCCCAATCTCAGAGCCAATAACTGACAAAGCTAGAATACGATCCCAAGTGGTAGGGCTCCAAAGTTCATGCTTGTAAGAACCACATTATACTGCCTTTTTAAATGTTTATTGAATAATTCTATAAACTGTAGTCAATTTCATAGTGTGCAGGACCAAGGAAGCTGTGCTCTGGAAAGAATGCAGGCATAAGACCTTCTCTGTGCTCATGGCCTACCCATTAGATGAAAACATATACAGGTTTACATAAAGACATGGATAATAGCTAGAGAAATATCCTGTGAAAATAATATGACCATCCAATGGCTTTCAAGAGTCTTGCAAATTCATTCCACTTTAGATTCCTACCAAAAACTTCAAGGAAATATTTTTACTGCCAGACCAAATATTTCACCACCGTGCCCTCTACTCTTTCCTACTACCTTCAGAGTACTCCTTGCATACCCAAACACTCCTCAGGACAATACCACAAGAGAAATAGCAGAGGTGATCCCCAGATAAGCCCACACCAGATGAACAAACCCCAGACAGACCTTTCTCCCCAACCCCTGCCTCCGTGCAAAGGAAGAGGAATCTTTACCTTGAAATAAAAACGCTCTGCTGGCATTGTGCAGCCCAGGCACCTGCGTGACTCCAAGCGTGGTGTTGACAAGATCCAGCTCCGCAATAATATCCATCTGAAGATCAGGGTCCATGCCAAAGCCCAGCACTGGAAAGGAACAAAGAGCTGTTTGGGCTTAAAATACAGACTGCTAGCAGCAACCCAAAACGGAAGTTACGGAAACAGGGAGTGACAGGGAAGCCAAGGGAAGCCAGAGATGAGAGTTTGCAGAGTCTCTCTCCTTGGAGGGAAAGCAAAGCAACTTTTTGCTCTATCACCTTGCTGATGGGGTCATTTCTTTGTACCTTTCCACACCTCCACTCTCCACTATGGGCTGATAATCCTTTAACCACAGTCCTTGGGGCCAAATGTATTTAGAATTCCAAATGTGTCCTGTGTTAGAAAAGCACTAAGGCCTATCTACTACATTTTATATAACATCCTCCACAAAGTATGAATCAGCACCCCATAATCACACACAGTATTTCTGGAGCAGAGAGCATCATGTATTCCTCTAATTGGCACAAATAAAGATTATAAATAGCCTCATATCGGTTTAGGTCATATTTTTGCCATCCAATGAGTTGAAGTCAGGATAGAATTTGCTGTCAGGGAAGTTACAGATAAACTTTGGGTTTCTAAGATATTTTAGATTAGAGATGGTGGATACAAGACTATGGCTTGAGCTCCCTACCTCAGAGACAGATGCAGCAGCAAAATCTGACAAGCACCATAAACACCTCCACAAAGCACTCCCTGTCACTCAGGAGCAACCGCCTATGATAAAGAGGAAGGAAACGGAGAAGGGACCTATCTCTGTTGGAAAAGGGTGGTGGAGGGACTAGCTAGCAAGGAGAACCCCAAGAAAAACTGTACATTTCCATCCAAGGAGATCCCATCTGGAAAGTTAGATGCCCTGACAACTCTTGTGAGAGAACGTTAGTACAGAGAAGCATGGCCTTGAGCCTCCTTGTCTGAGAAAAACAAATCCCTAAGGATGTTGCTCACCCAGGCGGCGTCCTGTAGAACAGTTCATTCACAACTGCAAAGTGGCGTCCAGTAATATATATTAATAAGGCTAGAGATCACTCTAAGGGACTGTGTTTAAGTCATCCATAAAGACGGTGTCTATCTACCAAGACGCTCAATGGCACACTTCTCATTGCACAGCTGGCGTTGTTTTAATCAGCACCAGCTGTCAACTTCCGTCTGATCATGCAGTCACCAAGGTGGGCTTTGGAGAGCTTGCACCCCATTGGTCCCAGAGAGGTGGATGTGCCATTGGGAAAGCATGAGATATCACAACCTCATCTGTCTTCCCACCTTCGCCTTTGGGGGAAGAAAATCTACCTTCTCCTTTCTCCTTTCTTGTTAAGAAACAGAAACTGCTGCAGCAACCCAGGTTTCTGTCAACAGGAGGTTGGTCAAGAAGGGTTCTTTGGCTCTGAAAGTTGCCATTCTCGAGGCAGACAGAAGGTTAAACTGAAGGCAGCACACCTGCAACTGGCTCCTCAGTTTTTGTCAGATTTCCTCCTCTGCCCTGAACCAGACATTTAAGTGTTCCTCTTCCAAGTACAGTCATTACGGAACCAGCTTCCCCAAAGATAAGTCTTCCTGGCATTTACTTTTCATTCATCATTTGGTGATTCTTCTTTTCAACATTGTGCTTGCTATAACATGCATACGCTAGGCGCTAGTGATATCCTCACAGTGCTTGCTTTTTTGGAAGACGGGAGGATGAGAGGGGACAAAAAATAAACAAATATGATCATTTAAGATGGCAATACAGTGGCCAGCAGGTGGTGCGGTGGCTAAAAGCGCTGGACTCCCACATGGCCGACCACGGTTCAAGTCCTGAACTTGGTGGCTTGCTTTCTCACTCCACCATCCCCCCCCATCTGATCAAACTGGAAAATAATAATAAAGTTAAATGAAATAATTCTTTATTTTTTTGAGAGGTTTTTGCTACTGGGCACATGCGCTTGCCAGACAGAGAGAGAGAGATAGAGAGATAGAAAGTGAGAAATCCCCCCCCAGGGGGGATGGCCATGCCGCAATCCCTTCTCCTCCATTCTCCTCTCAGGATCTTAGGCACGCAAGTACACGCGCCCGGCGTGAGTTGAAGCCACTGGGTCCAGGACTCGACCCACGGTCGACTATGTGGGAGGCCAGCGACATAGCCATTACGCTAACTGCTGGTCCCTAAATGAAATAATTCTTTTTAGAAAAAGATGGCAATACATGCCAAAAAGAAGATAAAACAGAGAAATGGGATAGAAAGCAACTGGGAGGAGGGGATGCTTTAGAAAAAAGGAGTCGGAAAAGGTTCTGTTGAGCTGAAACCTGAAAGAATAGAAGGGCAAGATCTGGGGAAAGCTTTCCACGTGTAGAGAGCAGTGAGCACAAGCCTGAAACTAGCCTGGGGTATTCAAGGAACAGGGCAAGGGTGAGTGTGGCTGCAGCAAATAGGGCCGGGGGGCGTGGCAGGAAATGAGGCCACAGAGTAGAAAGGAAGAGATGATGTGAGGCCTTGGAGCCCGCAACTAGGAACGTGATTGTTATTCTAATTCTCATGGCATAGCATTAGAGAGGGTTAGATTTGATGTCACTTTGAAGATTCCATCCTACATGCTTGACACTGCTCATTCCAGACAAAGACTCAATTCACAAATACTGATCAAAGTGCCTACTCAGTGCAAAACCAGGACTGATTCAGATAGACTTCTACCAGCCCAAGTCACAGCTCCAGGAGCGCATGGTTGAGACTGGCGGCGTTTTTCTCTAAGTGAACTCCGACGCCAGCAGTGCTGTGATCACCTTGAAAAGACAGGCAAAGAACTAATATTTCAGTTTGATCTATAGTGCTCTACACCTTTTTGGCAGAAACTAAATCAAGGGTGATCTCTGAGGACCTCCAAGCTGGTCTTTCTCTGGCCAGGAATTTGGGAAGTGGTCTGGAGTATAAGCCCTTGGCTGAGCACAAGAGGAAGAAAGCATCCCTGTGGCCCCGATGCTTTGCCCAGAGCCTAACACATGGCAGGCCCTGAATGTAGGACCTGATTAACTACCCAAAGAGTGGATACATGATCACTGCTTTGGCTGCAATGACCTCAGAGCAAAGTGAATATTTGGGGATACTATGAGAAAACAGGAGGGCATGCAGGCCAAGGAAACTTTCTAAGAGGACTGTGGTTGACCAGTTTATTGGCCTCAAATCTGTAGCTCTGCACACAGAAAAGGAATAAAACTCTGTTCTTTGACATCAAGCTCAGTCATGTGGCTTGTTCTAGCCACTGGGATGTTAGGACATTACACAAGCAACAACCTGACTGTGCTTGCATGGTGAGGTTTATTCTTTTGTACTTCTGCAACCAGATGGAAGAACATGGCCCTGCTGGCCACTAGATCAAGGACACTGAGACAGGTGGAATGGATACTCTACCCGAGCTTAGAACCAAGGCCAGCCAAGTCTGGCCTAGAAGAGCCAACACCAAACCAATCTACAGACATGTGAAACAAAATGGATGATCATTGTCTTCATTCACAAAGATTTTTTTATGTTTCATATGCAGCGTTACTGTGGCAATAGCTGGCTGATGCAGGGTCTAAAAACCTAGCGATGGTCATCCTCAAGTCTCCAAATCTGCCAGACGAGGGGCCCTGCAATTGTGCTAGCCTAAATGATACACAGACTGCAGAACTGGGAGAACACCTTGATGGTGTCCAGTGGTATCTTTTGGATACCTACATCTAAATAAGAACAAGACACCCTATATCCAGAAACCACTGTGGAAACAACACTACACTAAGAGCCAGCCTCAGTCCTGCCTCTTCTCCCTACTAATTCTATGCCTTGGACAAATCATCTCCCTTCTCAGAGCCTTAGTTTCCTGGTCTATAAGATGACAATGATGTCTGCCTCCCAGAATCACCAGGTCTCAGCTGAAGCTCCATGAGTACTCCAACAGCTTAGTCTGGTACATAGCTGGGGTCCAGTTCAGGTTGCCATCATCAGTCTTTTATAAGAGGAGTTCTCCAGACCATTCGAGCTCTCTGGGAACTCCACCAATCACACAAAAGGTACAGATGACCTCCTTCCTTGCAACTCCTTCCCCATGCCCAAATAAAAGGTTTCTCACCCTGAGATTTTGTGAAAATTCAAGAGGTCTTAGAAAGTTCGTGGAGAATGCATATTATAAAAAAACAAAAATTATGCATGGACTTTAAAAAAAGTTTTGCACAACATACTTGTACTTTAATTCCATTGTTCCATGAACTTTTGAAATTATTCTAATTTATTTCATACATTCAATCATTGTACATCACTACAGCTTATAAAATGAATTATCCAACATGAATACACTTCACACCAGTCCAGTTTAAGATACCATCTACATTATCAACAGACAGTCCTCCATTTCTGTGTCCTCTAAATGTATTTTCTCTCTATTTTCTTCCTTGATTCCTTTCCTCTCACTCTCCCCAATTCCCCATCCTCTTCCCATACTGTCTCCAGTATCTATAACCATTCTCCATGCTTCTATATTCTCCAATCTTTCAGCTTCTGCCATAGAGTGCCAATAATCAGTATATATTAAGTGGAGACATACAATGTCTCTCCTTCATTGCCTGGCTCACTTCACCCAGCAATAGTATAAACTTTTTGAAGTACTGTCAAATTAAATCTATACTCACTTCCATCCTGCCCACCCACAACTCACTAGTGAAGGGCTTCTCTGGCTTTAAGATAATTGTATTGGTCTTGTTAAGAAACACTCCATAGGGGCCAGCAAGTAGTGTGGTGGTTAAAGGTGCTGGACTCCCACATGGCCGACCATGGTTCGAGTATCGGACCCGGTGACTTGATTTCTCACTTTCTCTCTCTCTCTGATCAAACTGGAAAATAATAGTAATAAATAATGTTACATTTTAAAAAGTATTATTTAGAAAAAGAAACAACCCCATAAAAACAGAGAAGAAATCTCTTCAATTCCCAGATCCACATCTCTTCTCTCTCTTCAACTGGTCCCTTTCAGGATGACAATGCCTGGTGCCTACAGCAGGATATGTAAGGATAGCACTTTGCGCATTACCTAGGGAGCCAGGAAACCTATTCACAATGCAGCATTTACACAGCCCCTCCTGAACCGTATGTAATGTTGGTTCCATAAATGTTATTTTTACTTTAATGTTTCTGCTTCTTGTCCAAACATGAGTGTCTGCCCTTTCCTAGGAAACTCAATTAAAGTTTTCAACTTTGGACATAATGGCTCTATAAATGCCTAACGCTAAGAATTAGAATTAAGCAGGATAAACGGCTCCTGGGGAGGAAATATTTGGAAAAACTTGGAAGGGAGCATGTCAACATCCCCAAGGCACCAGACGCCTGGCTCAGAGCGTCCATCCTAACCAGGACACCTGCTGTTCTGTGAGCTGCTCCTCACAGCTTCCCAGGGAGTGCTCAGGTCCTGGCCTACTCAGTTCATTCTCAAGGTCCCAGGACCAAGCTTCCAAGCAAGTCTTTCTGTGTGTGGCTCACTTCAAATCTCATCTAGGCCGCTGTCCATGGTGGAAGCTGTTTTCCTCTGGCCCAGGCAGAGTATAATGGTCCCGACACCCCATTTAACAGCAAGATTTCATAACCACTTAAATATATGTGGGCCCCGGGACTCTTACAAAGGTTCTTAATATCCCAAAGCAATTTTCTTGAAGAATATGTTCTATGCCTTGTCCCAGTTGCTTGATAGTTTACATGCTCACTAGAGATTGGGGGTCATAGTCACAGGTCCATTATTCAGTGCAGAATTAATGAACCACCTGAGAGTTGCTTCCAAAAGAAACCTTTCTTCTCCAGCAGGTGGCAGCAAAAGACATTCGCCACACCTAGGAGCTTTGACATCATAGGTATTCTCTTCACCTGCTACCCGGTAGGTAAAACAAAGTAATGGGGGATAATCACTGAGTTTTATATAATTCGCCCTCCAAGCCACTGGGGAAAACCCATGGGCACACTGAGTTAATGCTGCTGTTACTGTAGTCTTCTAAATTTTCACCATTAGTGATGTCTCTGGAAATCCCAGAATAATATTTTGGCCAGAAATGACAATAACCAGATAATACTGTCTCCTATCCTGTCTCTACTTTGTTCTCTAAAACAAGTTCTCTGAACACAGAGCAATTTAAGCAACTTTCTTATAACACCTATCGGTAGATCTTTTCGTATGGAACTGTTTCTGCACTGCAGTCTGCTTTAATTAAAATATGCCTGATATCATCTATTCATTTCCATTAAAGGCGGTGTTATCTGAGCAGCTCACTAAGTGAACCACATGTTTATTTCATCTAGAACTGTTAACGGTCCAGACAACAACTGTCCCACTTGACAAATCAACTTTCCAAGCAGCTGTTTGGATCCTGATAAACTAATCACCAGCCAGCCTTTGCTACCTAAGAGCGTGGATATGCAACGTGGGGACGGTGATTCCCGGGTGTAATCCAAGAGCCTGCCCCTAGAACTACTGCTTATACCCCCTCGAGCTACATGAAACTGAAGTATCTGAATTGAGAGAATTTCTCCTGCCTCTCTGAGTCTTCTGATATTTTTTTCTTTTTTATAAAAGAAGTAAGTGGCCTCTGGTGTTCCTGCAGTGCAAAGTGGCATTGAAAACACAATGACAAGGTGGCCAAGATCCCTAGACAACAACTAAGGAGTAAGATTCGTCCATTTCCCTTTGCATACGTGGCTCCCTCTGCCTGGAAGCCTTTCCAACTTGGTACACCTGGAAAACTCCTACAAAGCTTTCAAGACATGGCTCTGAAACGTCACCTCCCGGGTAAAGCCTTCCCTAACCACCACCACCTCTCCCAGCACAGTCCCTTCTCTGGATCTCCTGAGTGCAAACTTCTTATACACCCATCAACCCGTATAATAAAACGTTTTCCAGCTTCTATTCAGATTCTGAGCTAAGCTATAAGTTTGTAGATACCAAAGACAAAGTGGTTTCCTCTTTGCATAAGCAATCCTGGCACCCAGCAAGACACTAACCTGTTTGTTGAATGAACAAATACATGAATAAATCCTCACCTACAACCACATTTTTACAAGATTTAATGAGGATTACAGGTGTGGAGGGGGGAAGGCTGGGCTCTTCAAGATCTCCAGCACAAGCAAGGCGTCCTAGAATCAGGGTCCACTCCCGGATGAGGGCACTTTGGGGCGACTTTTCAAAGAAGTAATGAGAACAAAAGACCCCTCCTCCCCCATCTAGCTGCTCCCCGTCTTCCGTTCCGGATAAAATACCCACTAGCTCCAGAGTCTGTGCACTGAGCTGCCAGTCCATGCTTTGCACAAGCCTCACCTGCCCCGATCTTCCTGGGGCTCCTTCCAGGGCGTTCTTAGTTTTAAAGAGGTAACCCCTCCCGGTGGAAGTGAACTTAAGAAGCAACTATCCTAGGCTACACTGAGCCTTGGTTTCTCCACAGCCTGCGAAGTCAGATGGAGACGAGGAGAGGAAGGGGGTTTCTTTTGTCCCCGGAGAAACCCAGGCTATCTTCGATTAATTGGAAGCAAGCTGCTTCCGGAGCTCAGGAAATGGGAAAGGCCAGGTTGAAGCCCTAGATGCACAGCTCTCGGGCCCTCCAGCCGGCTCACTCTTAAGGAGGGGCACCTGGGGCGCAAGTGTAAGGAACTTTTGAACCAACCAAGGGCTGGCGCCCCTCCTTGGCTCTCTCTGGATAAGCTTACTCCCCGACCTGGGAAGGAGGCTTTGCGTCTAGAGAAGGGAAGTGAGGATGGTAAAGGAGGGAAGAGAAAGGGAGAGGAAATGACCGTCAGATCATTCTAGGGTGCAAAGTCGGCCGCGCGGACCGAGGGGGGCTGGCGTAGTATTGATAACGCCTGGTAATTCCCGATCGGCAGGCCCTCTTTTTGCCAATTTCTTACCCCACCCATCCTCACCCGCTCCTTCCCGCATCTGCTACTACTAACTCCTTGAAGAAGGCTGCAAACCAGTCTCCGAACCCCAGGAGATCTGGGGGCAGAGAGCTGGTGGAGGGGGAAGGAACGAGGTGCGCTTAGAGTCCTCATGACTGCTACTCCCGAGGCAGACCCAAGTGGGGGCTTCAGACAATTACGCCGGTTATCCTTGCTCACCCTCCCACCCCGCACCTGCGATTACAGCAAGGGAAAACTGGTTTGGAGCTTGAGACAATCTCCCCGGATTGTCTCCACTGCTCCAATTCCACGGAATAAACTCGCTCAACCCCTGGAAGCAGATAGCGTATGGGGGAAGTGCGGACCTGGAGGTGCCCTGGGGAGAGGCAAGAAGGGAGCAGAAGAGACTGGGGTCCCGGGGTTCTCGGGCGGCAGTCTCCCCGCCCGGCGCCGTGCAGTGCCGCGCCCTCCCGGGCCCCGACCGCGCCCGCCGGCCGGAAGCGCTCTCTCTGCGGGTGCGACTCCCGCGGCCGCCCCTTCGCGGCCGGGAGGAGCTCGGGGAGGTTGGTTTCCACCGCACCTTTCAAGTTCGGCGCCGTGGGGCTCGCGGGCCCGCCCTGCTGCGGGTTTCGACTCCCCGGGACCTCGTTACTAGCAGCATGGGGATGTGCCCTCTCCGACGCGCCCCTCACTCTGTCCGCGGAACCGCGACCCCGCGGGGGAGGCACTGATCCGGGGCATGTACTAGCCCGCGAGCCCCACTTCCCGCCCTCTCACCCCGAGAAGGGCACAACGCTCCCAGGTACCGACCCTCGCTGCCGCCCTTCCTCAGCCCAGCGTAGAGCTGGGATCCAGGTCTCCGCGCGCCGGAGCGGGTGCCAGGCAAGCGACGGGGCTCCCACCTTCCCCCATCTCTCCAGCCCGCCCAGCCTTGCTTACCTGTCCTGGCGGCGCACACGCAGAACC